TCCTATCCTATCATGTTCTCCTAATACAAAATCGCATTTTTGGACAAATATTTTACTTCGATCAAGGAATTTCCATACCAATCTTTTTTATTAAATATCTCGCTTATACTTCAAGATATTAAAAAATGTTACGAATGAAAGTTGAATGGTTTCGAAAGGGCTATATTCCGGTGCCCTCAATTTTTTCGAGGATCGGCTCATAAAAAAATTATCAAGGTCACCCTTATTTTTTTAAATAGCACCATATACTTTTTCATACACCGATCGATGCTTCCTGGCATTCTCTATAAAAATGAGGAGGGGCATTTTTACGAAAAAACCATTAGTTTAGGAGATATTTATTATTTTTTAAACTTTAAGTTTTTTTTAGAACTTGTTTATTTAACAGTTTCTCAGAGATGGTGTCATATATCAAAGAGAATTGTTTCGCCATCTCTTCGAGAAACAGTGAACCTTCTATTTAGAATTTTCTATGAAATGGCGCCACAAACGAAAGATTTTTTATGTGTGGTTATAAGCAATCGCGTAATCTGTGCAAAAATTGTTGAACTTTCTGTTTAATATATTCCACGAGGTGTCTCCTCTAATCAAAAATTATAAAAACTTTACTCTTGATAAATTTTTTCGCAACTTATAACAAGTTTGAGTCTTTGTCGAAGAGATGGCGCTAGTTGTTAAATATAATAGAATATAAAATAAATATAATAATACATGAAGATAAAAAAAAAAGAATAATTTAAATTTGTACATCATATATATATTTTATACATATTTTTGTATGTTATATATATATACTATATATTTTTATATTTCTATATATCATGTACATTTTATACTTATTGTTGTATTCTTATATACACATTTATACATATATTATATACCTGCACGTGTAAATTTCCTAAGCCATTGATCCTCTACTTTTCATGATAATAATTCAATAAACTCATTCATTTACGGCAGATACATATGACAGATTCGACTTTCTTTTAATATTTTTTTTTTTTTTTTATTTCTTAATACAACGATACTTATTCTTCTTGGCTAGCTACCAGAAGTTCGACACTTTATGCTTCCCTACTCTATGTTTTCCTATTAATACATACATATAAAAACTAATAGCTGCGGGAGGGAGTGGAAACAAAGGGGTAGCGGAGGAGAGAGACAGGGAAGCATTGTTAGCCAAAAGACTGGGTAACAGAGTTAATGTCGCATTACGGCATGAACTGTATAAGGACGTGGGTTGTTTTAAACGGGAGAAAAAATAGTGGAGGAGGAATTCGTGAAAATGACGGAAACCACAGAGGAAGCCAGAGTAAGCAAAATGATAAACCTTGAATAATCTCAAATAGGACTTTTGATCAAAATTAATAATCTCTTAAAAAAAATCAGAAAAGATTAAAGGAATAAGTGATTAATACGATAACGAGTGGTTGCTAAGGAGATGGTAAATAAGGAGGATACCATTTTGCACGAACAAATTTACCAAAAGCTGTTCAGGATTTACTATCCTTAGATCTTGATTAGATAACGAGCATGATACTCGACATTTTCTCCAAGTTTTCACCGGTTACTTCACGCGAGATTCATTTTAAACTTGAAGACTCGTGTGATTTTGACTTTATCGCATCGGCCGATCGATTCTCCGCGTTCTTGCACGTAAGGAATGGTGCACTCTCATATGCAAATGCCGGGCAAGCTCGTGTCGTTGTTCGAACAGCGGATGTAACAAATATTCTTAATGTACCTATAAATGTTATTCGAATATCGACACGATGATAGCGATACAGCTTTCTCGAGCTTCGTGTTAAAAGGATATTCGCGTGCTCGTTGACTAATACGATACGAATCATATTTTAATACCGGTTTAATCGATGTTATGCTTGAATAACCATCAATAAGTTTTATTTTTCTATAAGGATATGAATCATTCGATATTTACGTAATCGATGACGTGGTACATGCATTTTTCGTAATTCGTAATATTTAGATCCGAAAGAAAAATGAAATTATTGACAAATGACAGTGATATAGTGAAAGATATTATGTATTCGTGATACACAATGACTGATGTGAAATTTTTATTGATGTTTTAGAATGATGGATAATTCAATATGATCTAGTAGAACAATTGAAAATAATTTTTTAATTTACAGAACGATTTTGTTTGACAAATACATTTTGACAAATATATTTATGGATATTTATCATAATTTAATAATAATGAATATATCTGTGTCTCGATTTTTCATTATGATAAATGATACGAATATGATGTGACATATTTAAGAGCTGTATATAAAAACTGAACTTGATCAATTCCATTAAGATAGATATATATTATTATTACATGTTATTTAAAAGTTGATGTTATGGGATCTAGTTCAATTATATAAAATAATATTATCTAATGATTCAATTATAAAATAAAATCGTGTGCATTATAAACAGATGTTCACTAAATCAACATTTTACATATATTATTAATTTAATTATTATTTTTTTACAGATCCATACAAAAAATTTAAGTGAATTTTTTTATTAATCAAATTTCACACATCTATATATATATCTACGTAAATATTTTAAATAAATACAATCTAAAAAGCAAAAGAATAATTAACTTCAAGTAAAGGCAATATTCAGAAATATCAATTATGTATCAAACAAGATTATATATAAAAAGAAATAAATTTTAAATTAGAATATGTCATTTTTAATAAGATTTTATTCTTAATATTATGTTAATAATACTATAAAAATGATATACTTAAAAATGATAATCTTACAATCTTTGTAGAAAATATTTTGAGATGTATTATTATTCTCAATTCAGCGTTGAATACCAACTTTCGAATCACTCACAATATTATTAAAATAATCAACACTTCCAGTCACGATATTTTTCTATCGTATAGCATAAATAACACATTGCAAAATTAACTTAATTTCGAAAAAGAATCACACAATCTCGATAATTTCATTGTATGATCATTCTGTCAATATTCCATCACGATACACCATTATATAACTTGTGAGAACTGATATTGGAGCTTAATGCTGCAACGACGAAAGAAGAATACACACGTTGTGGTATCAGTATCGACTACACTGGTAGCGCGGAAATTCCCACACGACACGAACGACGTATAGAAAAGCGGTACCAGACACGAATTCGTGGCACTGGAATTCGCTTACTGCTTACAAATCATTTCGATTCGACGTTCCAATCATTGGTAAAACTCGTCGTTGTGTTATCAGTTCGTTTATCGAGAAATTATATCTCTCTCTCTCTCGGTTCAATTCGTTCAATCATGTTCGTGCAAGCTCCTGCTTTGATGGTTCAACAAAGATCTGAGAATTCTGAAGAAGATAGCGAGGAAGAAGGAACCGGCGATGTTCTCCAGGTTGATCGTTCTTTTGCTTTTTAGATTGATATTTCTTTCGTTTTTTTATTATTCGAAGCAGAAAGGCAAGTGAAATTCGTGTTATTTTAAAATGGAATGACGGGATGATGAAATGTAATAAGTATTATTACAATGTAGTAATAAAAAGAATAATACTAAAAACATGATAATAATTAAAACTTGTTGTTGCATAATTTTAATAAACTGGAAAAATTCTTAATATATTCTTAATATCTGACCAATGATGACAAAACCACTGAATTTATTATTACAGCAATAATTCAATATTATTTCCTTCATAGAAACGTCGGGAAGAATGCGAAAGAAAGGCAAGACGTGGGGAGATGGATCCCCGATTAGAATTCGCTTTCCAACTTTTGATGGATGCTACACAGTTATCACGTCACGAAGTCATGGATCACGTTTTCGAGGGAGATATGCTCGACGAAATCAATCAATTGTTCTTGCCACATATGAGATCCACCCTTCTCTGGTATTATCAAGAAGTGGAGGAACCTGAAACGTTGCGTCCTACAGAAACGGTTCAAATTTCAATCGTTATATTTTTTTGAATGAAAATAATAAACTTACTAAATAATAAAATTTACTAATCGAGTAAAATTTCAATGTCTAGGTACAAAGTAAAGCTTCGAGTTCTAGACCAAGTCCAAATACACCTGTACCAAAAGCGAAAGAACAAAAAGAAGTGAAGGAACCAGGAAAAAAAAATTATTCCTTACCGATGGATGGCAAGTTCCTTGTACTGGAATATGCATTTATATGTTCAGGTAGTTTTTATTTAAGTATTTAAACGGCTGAAGATTTAATTGGAAATTATTTGCTGCGTGAAAAAAATATTTCAAACAAACGTTCAAATCACTTCGAATTTTTTAATTATTCTATAGCTGAACATATATAGAATATATAAAAGTCATGGTAAAAAATATTAATTCAAAATATATTTTAACAATTAAATTTAAAATATGAAGGAGAAACAGAATGAAACTTGGAATTTCTTTTAGATTAAACGTCTCGAAACAATTGCCCGAGGAAGGTTTCCAGAAAGATCTTTATACTGGTGTAATAGACACCAAGAAAGTGGAAATAATAACAGCAATACAAAGAGTAGTGGAACATGTCTTTATGGATGCACTTGCACATCCTGGTTCTGAGAAAGAGGACGATTGTCCAATGATTAAAAATCTTTTATTGCCAGGTTTAAGATCTTTCTGCAGCGCTCTGAAAGGTAATAATAGAATTATAGATAATTGACGTAAATGATATTTTAAAAATTCTTATAGTATGCGAACAGGTGGCTCGGGAGGGACATATATTCGACGATAGCGAAGCTTTAATGGGGGAAGTACATAATTTCGAAGAAGCAAAAGCGTTTATGGCAAAAGATAACGCTGTAAATATTGTAGAAGAAAGAGTAAAATCGTGGATTAAATTATTGAAAAATTTCATGGTGGAAAGTAAACAGGTGAAACGAGAAAATGACAACTCTGGTCCACAACAAGAGTTGGAATACTGGAAAAGAAGGGGTGCTCAATTTAGTCAATTAGTCAATAAACTTCAGGTTTTATCTTTGTACTCTTATGTTATTTTATCAATTTTTATTAATAATTAAATTGTAATTTCTTCTATTAATATTTAGGACCATGAAATACGAATGTCTCTTCTATGTTTGCAAGTTGCACGCTCAAACTTAATAAAAGATTGGGTTGACGTTGAGGACGAAGTCACTTACTGCTACAACGAAGCTAAAGATAATGCAAAATTTATACAGGCATTAGAAAAATGTTGTCATTGTTTGTACTTAGACGATCCAGTAAGATAATTATAGCACTAATTGTTCAAAAAAAAATAATTATAACTGAGTCTTTGAATATATATTATATCTTTAACCATATATTAATCACATAAAAAAGAATTATAATTATTTACTGATTAGTGTGAATGAAAATTATTTATATTAAATAAAACTAATCACATAATATATTCTTCAGGTAAAAATGAGAGATTCCCTCGTCTCGTTGTTACAAACAGTCCGCTTAATATACAGCGTTTCGAGATACTATAACACTTCAGAACGAACTAGTTCATTAATGATAAAGATTACAAATCAAATGATTATAGCTTGTCGAGATTATGTCACAAATAGAGGACGTGAAACTGTTTGGAGTCAAGATCGAGCAGTTGCACGATCAAAATTAAAGCATTGTTTGAGATTAAACAAGTACGTTATAATTCGCTTATGAAAAATGATAAATTATTTTAATTCTTATTAAAAAAAAATTATTGGAAGCTTTATTATTATTTGCAATTCTCTTCACGAATATATATGATTATTTAAAATTATAATTGATTATCTTTTAATACTTTGTTTTAATCTGAAATCTATATCTTTTTTTAAATATAGAAATTAATATTATCATTTTTTTCAGAGCTTACAGAGAAACTTACAGATTAGTTCGATGTTCTCCAGCAATAACCGAACAAGAATTCTCATTCTCAGAGACTCACGTGTTTGGAAGATTCGATTCCTTTTGCGACAGGATAAGAAAAATTTTAACCATGTTCGAATTGATACAAGATTATAAAAGCCTTTTCGAAAGAAGAATGGAGGGCCTTTTATTAGGAGAAGGTACGTAATTTTTCATTCATAAATACTTTTCTTCTTCTTTCATCCTTTTAAATTATCTTTCGTATTTCAATAGCATTAGACGATGCAATAAGAACTTTCGAAGAAACTGAAAAGGTTGCTACCACCAAAGATTACGATTATCTTGATCCAAGAAATACTGAATTTGATACGGACTACAATGACTTCATGACAAAAACTGATACCCTGAAACAGAACATCGGTAATATTATTGAAAAAAATTATGCAGATGTTTGGGAAACTCTTCAGGGTATACGATTTTTAACTCGATTCGAAAAAGTAAAGTGGCGCATTATAGTTGATTAATAATGCACGAGTAATTGTACATACAATATTTAAAATGGCACATTTTTTAATTTTTGAATTGTTGAATTCCTCAATTGTTAAATTTTTCTCAATAATGTGAATTCTTGAATTCTCTGAGATTTTCCTATTTTGAAATTTTAGAATTTTAGAATTTTGAGATTATTGACAAGCTTTTAAATATTTCATTTTTCTTTTCAATTTATAAATCTCAATTTTAATTTTTAAATCCTCAAATTGTTAAACGTATATAATTTTTCTTTATTTAATATTTTTAAGGTCAGTGAAAAAGTACCTTTGACGAAGTTAGATGAAAAATACAATATAGTAGTGAAATATTGCGATAAAGAAGTGGACAGAATATTGAAATTATTCAAAAGACAAAGAGATGATCCACCGTTACCAAGGCATATGCCAGCCATTGCTGGAAGATTAACTTGGGCAAATTCGTTAAAGTAATAAAAAAAAAAATTATTTAAATGAAATTTATTCTTCGTATATTATTTTTTCAAAATATTCTTTATTTAGAATACACTTGGATGAGCTAGCTACATCAGTTTCTAATCATCCAGTATTGAAGACACTTCCACTCAGTATGGAATTAGAAAAAAGATATAATTATGCCATCAGTATATTGAATCAATACAAGTCAGATATATCTGAAGTTTGGACTCATCAAAATTCCTGGGTCATCGAGGATTGTCTAAAACAGTAAATTTATTATTATCAATCTGTATTAAATTTAAAGGAAAACTTTATTTTATTTTAATCACCCAGATCTCTGCTGATGATAGACGAAAAATCCGGAAAAATCAAAGTTAATTTAGAAGAAAGGATCTCTCTTTTGATTCGAGAAGCTGATTGCTTAGCTAAATTGAATCTCCAAATTCCTATCGTCGCATTAACGATTTTAGCAAAAAAAAACTACTTCACGTTGATCACAAATTCTCTTCAATCGATGATCAAAGACTTGGTTTTCACATCAAGACGCGTGAAATTGGAAGTGAGGCCATTGCTATTACCGCATTTGGTGCGAGTTGTATCATTGCTGGAACCTGGTTTGACTTCTTTAAATTGGACCAATCCAAAATGGAAGGAGTTTTATGAGAATACCAAAGAGCAGATTAAGGAATTTGATATACTCATTACAAGAGTTCACGATGTATATGATAATAGGTATGAATTTTTATTTTATCGTATATATTCAATTCAAAATTAAAGAATATATATTTTTCAAAAATTTTTTATTAATTATTTTATTCGATTATCAGAATTTCTGATCGATAAATTTTTATGAAATTGAATAAAGAAAATTTCCTTCGTTCCTTTCAAGAATTTTACAGGTGCTAACAGCTATGCAAAAGATTACTTTACATTCTATACCTGATCAACCATGGACGATAGAGGAATTCGTAGAGAAAACCGAAGAAATATGCAGACACGCAGCGGTAGATTTGTATCGTAAGAGTATGATGGTGGAAGAGGCGGTAGAGGAAGTGCTGGATCTTGTTAAGAATGCCACAGAAAATTTCAAAGACGCCGCTAATTCCAGTCAATTCGAGTTTTTTAATATCGAAGGTGAATACTGTGAATAGTTTCCTGAATTACTTAACGATAATCTACGATTCTTTTTCTTTTTTAATTAAAATATGATAAACCTCATTTTCCATATTTTTCGAATCGTTAATTTTCGATGGAATGAGCTTACAGAAAATGAAGAGGTGGTCGATCAAACTGTCCAACAAGATTGGTCTTTAGTTTGGAATTTATTTGACAATCCTCATCAATTATTAGCTACACCTGGTAGCTTGCCAAAGGGAATGCAAGACATGGTCCGAAATGCCGTATCCGAAATGAGAAGATATTACTCCAGAAAAGTCGTAGACGTTCTGATAAAAGTCATCAGAGCTTCATTAGACGCCATTAGAAAACGATTCATTCGAGAAATCGATCCAGGTGTTTTCCTATTCGATAAAATATAAAAATATCTTCAAATTTAGCGAACGATCGTATAAATAAATAAAATATCTTTCAAACAGACGAGATACCGAATCCAATATTTCTACTTCATGCAACGTTAATGATACCAGTGGTGACCGTGAAACCTAGCTTAGACGATGTACAGGAAGTTTTAACTTTAATTGGCAAAATCATCGCTGGCGTCGCGAGAGGTGTATCGCAATGGAATTCTAGAGTTAACAAGGTAAGGTTTCTTGAAAATTTTTATCTCTTTGCTATCGGGGATGAGATATCGAAACAATATCTTTCATGAAAGTCTTCATGGACGATTCAATTTTTATTAAACGATTCAATTCGACTTTTATTCAAATGATTGGATGAAATATCCAGAGTAATTAAAATTCTAATTAAAATATCTATTGATAAAAGAATTATTCTAGTAGCGTCTCGACATTGCTTGCTATAAATTAAATCATCTAACTCGTTATTTTGTTATTGACAATATTTTTTGATAATTCAGAGTACGTGGAATCAAATTTATTCAAGGAAAAATTTCGCAGACATCGTGATGCGTGCTCAAATGCAAGCGGCGAAGAAGAAGCAAGAGCAAGAAGATCCAAGAGCAAGAAGGAGAAGATTATTTAAAATCATTTCTGAAGAAAGACCGATTTTTCCTGTCCAAAAGCAGAATTTTCACGCGATGGTAATGGATAATAAAGAAGTGATGAAACTATTGTCAATATTAAACACTTGTATGCAAGAATTCAAGCCGGTAATAAATGAACTTAAATAAAGGATAATGAATAAAATTTCATTACGAATTATCTTTGTTTCAATGTAAATCCATAGGATCTTGCCGAATTTATCGATAGATGGAAACCGTATAAATTTTTATGGAAAAATGAGAAAAGTATGCGAGAATTGTTACAAATTTCTTTGCCTGAGTTTGAAGCTACACTTCGAAAACACAGTGAACTCGAAGATCTCTTAGCCACCGAGCCTGATATGATTATTTTTGGAAGATCAATTGCTGTCTCTACGGAAAAACTGAAATATGGCCTTTACACGGAAATTAAAGGTAAAGTAAAATTAATTTCAAAATCTAAATCACATTGAATTAATAAATAACAATAAAAAAACGATATGCATCTATATATAAACGATACAATAATAAAAAAACATTTTTTTCTACGTCACCAAAAATTCCAAAAAAGATTCTTAATTACTTATAAACATCTTAAAAATATTTTTCTAAAAAAAAAAAAAAACAAAAAATGTCCACAGCGTGTACCCACAAAATTGGCCAAGCCATGAAAAAGAAATATCGCCGAGAAATGGAATACGTATATGCGTTAATGAACGAAATGGATCGCAAATTAGATCGTCAGATACGCGATCTGGACGATATACGTCTTATCATGGACACATTAAAGAAGATTCGTGAGCAAGAGGTCGACATGGAACTAAAAATCGATCCGATCGAGGAAGCCTTCAATATAGTCACGAGATACGAAGTGCCAGTTGATCAAGAATGTCTCGAGCAGGTGGACAATTTGAGATACACGTGGCAACAATTGCTCGCAAGGGCACAAGAAATTCACGTATTGTTGTTGAAATTGCAACCACAATTCGAGGAAGATCTTAGATTGAATCTCGAGAATTTTCGTATCGACAGCAAGATGTATTGCGAGGAATACAGATCCTCTGGACCTATGCAACCTGGTCTCAGCCCAAGAGAAGCGTCGGATAGACAGATTTTGTTCAAAATAGATTCGATGGAATGTGGAGGAAATTACAGACTTATCAGAGTGGCGAGGAACTGTTCGGTTTGCCCACAACTGATTACCCTGAACTTTCGCAGATAAGAAAAGAGTTAAATTTGCTTCAAAAATTATATAAATTGTACAATGATGTTATTGATAGAGTGAACAGTTATTATGATATTCCATGGAGCGAGGTAAAGCATTCCTCGTAAAATCAGTCTCTATTTTAATTCTAAAAATTTCAGTTTTATATAGAAATTTAGAGAGAATGTTTATAACTTTTTATCTAGGTCAATATCGAGGATATAAACAACGAATTAATGGAGTTTCAAAATCGGTGTCGCAAGTTACCGAAAGGTCTGAAAGAATGGCCCGCGTTCTTTGCATTGAAGAAAACCATCGACGATTTTAACGACATGTGTCCTCTTTTGGAATTAATGGCCAACAAAGCTATGAAACCTCGCCACTGGCACAGGATCATAGAAGTGACGGATTATTTGTTCGATCTTGAAAGCGAGGGTTTCTGCTTGAAAAATATTCTGGAGGCGCCGTTGTTGAAATGCAAAGAGGACATCGAAGATATTTGCATCTCTGCTATGAAAGAAAAAGATATCGAGGCCAAATTAAGAACTGTGGTGAACGAATGGTCGTCCCACGAGTTGACGTTTATGACGTTTAACAACAGAGGAGAATTACTATTGAGAGGAGACACAACTGCTGAAACGATCGGCCAACTCGAGGATAGTTTGATGGTGCTTGGTTCGTTGATGTCGAACAGATACAATGCACCGTTCCGTAAGCAGATACAACAATGGCTTACGGATCTGTCGAACACGAATGAAATTTTAGAAAGATGGCTATTAGTACAGAATATGTGGGTTTACCTGGAAGCTGTATTCGTTGGCGGTGATATAGCGAAGCAATTGCCAAAAGAGGCGAAAAGATTTGGTAAGATTGATAAAAGCTGGCAGAAAATCATGCAAAGGGCACATGAGACTCCAGGAGTGGTGCCGTGCTGTGTGGGCGATGATTTGCTTAAACAGCTTCTACCTCATCTGCAAGAACAATTAGAATTATGTCAGAAATCTCTTAGTGGGTAAGTTTTTTATTAATGGAATTTAAATTCTTGTGTAAATACATGTTTTTTATATTGTATACTATGTTTGCTATCATCCAAGAAACACAGAATTGATAAAATATAATATATAAATTTTAATCAATTTAGATATATTCAATATATGTAATGCAATATAAGAAAATATTGTTGCAGATACTTAGAAAAGAAACGTATGATGTTTCCAAGATTTTTCTTCGTATCAGATCCTGCTTTATTGGAGATACTTGGTCAAGCATCTGATTCTCACACAATACAGAATCATCTACTATCTATTTTTGACAATACACGTTACGTAAAGTTTCATGATATCGAATATAACAAAATGATTGCTATTATTTCATCCGAAGGTGAAACAATTTTGGTAAGTACTTTAATAGAGAATCAAATGATTGAAATATTGATTTATCAATGAAAAGTAACATTGATCAATATTTAAAATATAGCTCGAAAAGGCTGTAAGGGCGGAAGGTTCAGTGGAAACATGGCTAATGCAACTTTTACACACATCGCAACAATCCTTGCACTCGATAATCCGACAGAGTTACTTCATGATTAATGATATGAATTTCAATCTTCTTAATTATTTGGATAAAATGCCTGCACAAGTCGGTTTATTAGGAATACAAATGATCTGGACCAGGGATAGTGAAATGGCTTTGGCTCAAGCTCGTGCGGATAAAAAGATCATGGCGGAAACGAATAACAGATTTCTGGATTTATTGAATACATTAATCGATCAAACTACCAGAGATCTTGCAAAAATTGAAAGAACAAAATTCGAAACTTTGATCACTATTCACGTGCACCAACGTGATATTTTTGATATATTAGTAAGCTATAAAAGAATAATTCTTTTATTAATAGCAGATATAAATTGCATTTTCTTATAATATAGTATTGTAATCATTATTTATTACAATACTATATTTGAAAAATGACAATAAATATTTAAAAAGGTCCAAGCATAATATCAAATTTAAATATATATAAGTAATATAAAAAACTATTAAATTTTTATATCTAATTTTTCATAAAATAATATTTCTATTCGTTTTTCAAAAATAAATATATAATTTATAAAATTTTCCACGTAGTGCCGTTTGAATGTACGATCGATAAACGATTTCGAATGGTTGAAGCAATGCAGATTTTACTTCAAAGAAGATCTCGACAAAACATCGATCTGCATAACAGACGTAAACTTTACATATCAAAATGAATATTTGGGATGCACTGAACGACTCGTGATTACTCCGCTAACAGATAGGTAATTGTATCGAGAAAACTTATTTATTTAATTAACGAATCAATATAAACAAATTGTTCTCAAATTTATGTGCTATCATTTTACAGATGTTACATAACTTTGGCTCAAGCATTATCTATGTCTATGGGTGGCTCGCCTTGCGGCCCAGCTGGAACAGGCAAAACAGAAACTGTCAAAGATATGGGAAAAACTTTGGCCAAATACGTAGTGGTGTTCAATTGTTCGGATCAAATGGATTATAGAGGATTGGGAAGAATATATAAGGGATTGGCACAAAGTGGTTCTTGGGGTTGTTTTGACGAATTCAACAGGATCGAATTGCCGGTGTTGTCTGTTGCTGCTCAACAAGTTGCAGTCGTTTTGGCTGCGAAAAAGGAGAAAAAGAAGCAATTTATTTTTACCGATGGAGATCTGATAGACATGTGCCCTGAACTTGGAATATTTATAACAATGGTAAAAGAAACGATATAAGCATTGATAATATTGCATATATTAATTTTACAACAAAATATGTATCAATGCAATTTATTTGATTCTTATATCAAATATTTGATTTCATTTTTATGCGAATTTTTAGTTCTTTTAAATATGAAGAATTATTGAAATTATTTTACTTTTATTACGATACGTTTCAAAAATAATCTATTGGATATAAAAATGTAAGACTTTAATTAAAATGGATGATTACAGAATCCAGGATATGCTGGCAGGAAAGAACTTCCAGAGAATCTAAAGATACAATTTCGTACCGTTGCCATGATGGTACCTGATAGACAAATCATTATTAGGGTAAAATTAGCCAGTTGTGGTTTCCTTGAGAACATCACACTTGCTCGCAAATTTTACACTTTGTACAAACTCTGTGAAGAACAACTTACAAAACAGGTAATTATTTATCTGTTTATTATAACATATCTGAATAAATTTTATCGAACATGTTATTCGTTCTATTTAGGTACACTACGATTTCGGTCTAAGAAATATATTGTCCGTTCTAAGGACATTAGGAGCGGCAAAAAGGGTGAATTCGAAAGATTCTGAGAGCACTATTGTTATGCGTGTTTTAAGAGATATGAATCTTTCGAAACTCATTGGTAAATATTTATAATATTTGTATATAACAAAATTTAACTTACAAAATTTTTCTAATTTCAGATGAGGACGAACCATTATTCATCTCATTGGTGGCTGATCTCTTTCCAAATCAAGCTCTTGAAAAGACTTCCTATCCAGAATTGGAAGCAGCTATTAATCAGCAAGTAGAAGAAGCTGGATTGATATATCATCCTCCATGGGTGCTAAAATTGATACAATTATATGAGACACAAAGAGTGAGGCATGGAATAATGACCCTAGGTCCAACTGGTGCAGGAAAAACCACTTGTATACACATTTTGATGAAAGCTTTAACGCAATGCGGTAATTTTCATAGGTAATAAAATAATTTATACAAATGATTTCTCTGAAATTCAAAAATTCAATCATTCAAAAATTGTTTTTTCATGAAATAGCATAACTTACTTCGTCTAGAATTACACAATATTTATTTCAGAGAAATGAGAATGAATCCGAAAAGTATAACAGCAGCACAAATGTTTGGACGATTGGACGTGGCAACGAATGATTGGACAGATGGAATATTTTCAGCTTTGTGGCGCAAAACGTTGAAATTGAAAGAAGGAGAACACGTATGGTTGGTTCTCGATGGACCTGTTGATAGTATTTGGATCGAGAATTTAAATTCCGTGTTAGATGACAATAAAACTCTGACTCTTGCAAATGGCGATCGATTATCGATGTCATCTAATTGCAAAATCATCTTCGAGCCTCACAATATCGATAATGCAAGTCCAGCAACGGTATCCCGAAACGGAATGGTGTACATGAGTTCATCAGGACTGGATTGGAATCCTGTAGTCACTGCTTGGTTGAACAATCGAACACCTTTGGAACAAGAAGTGTTGGGTCAATGTTTCGAGAAGTCTTTTGCACAGGTAAAAAGAATTAATTCCTATTTATATATTCTTTCTCGAATATCTCCATTTTAAGAATTATTTTTATTCAGATTGTTAGAGACGAAACAATTTTTAAAATAGAAAATAATAGATATACAATAATACTTACAATAATACTTACAATAATATATAACATTTTTATAGATTTATTCATGGAGCACTCAAGCATTATTGCTGACCATAGATGTTTTGCAATGCAACATAGTTAGACAAATGTTGTGCCTTCTTGAAGGTTTAATTCCGCCAAAAACCATAGAAGAAGAGGAAAACGAAGAGACGGAAGAGGAAAAGAGACAACCGATGACAGCTGAACACCTGAAACATTTTTACGTTTTCGCTTTAGTATGGGGCATAGGAGCATTATTGGAAACATCAGACAGGCAAAAATACGACGTCTATCTCCGACAAAATTTCGAAAGTTTAGATTTGCCAATATCGGAAGAATATCCTGAAGCTAAGCTATTCGATTTCTACGTCACTGAAAAAGGTAAATGGGATACATGGACAAGTATGGTAACCAATTACGTATACTCTGAATATTCAACGTCCGATTATAGCAACATATTGGTTCCTATCCCTGATAACGTCAGAATAACATATCTAATCGATCTAATTGGCCGCCAAGATAAAGCAGTTTTGCTTATAGGCGAGCAAGGATCGGCCAAAACAGTGATGATGAAGTCTTATATGAAAAAAGCGAATCCTGAAACCACGTTGAGTAGATCATTCAATTTCAGCTCGGCTACAAGTCCGTATCAATTTCAGAAAACTATCGAAAGTTACATAGAAAAACGTCTAGGTAACACGTTCGGTCCACCAGGGGGGAAAAAAATGTTGATTTTCATCGATGACATAAATTTACCGCAAATCAACGAGTGGGGTGATCAAGTCACCAATGAAATCGTTCGACAGACGATGGACATGAAAGGATTTTACTCTCTGGAGAAACCTGGAGACTTCACTATCGTTGTAGACATAACATTTCTGGCAGCCATGTGTCAACCAGGTGGTGGAAGAAACGATATTCCGCAAAGATTAAAGAGACAATTCTGCATCTTCAATTGTACGTTACCTAACGAAGCTTCCATTGATCGAATTTTTGGCGTACTCTCAGAGGGTCATTATAACTCTAAAAGAGGATTTTCAATGGAAGTTAAGAATCTCGTGAAAAAGATGGTTCCTATGACGAGAATACTTTGGGAGAGAACCAGAACAACATTATTGCCTACACCGGCAAAGTTTCATTATATATTTAATCTAAGAGATTTGTCAAGAGTTTGGCAAGGTATGCTTGGTACACTATCTACAGTTGTCGACAAGGAAAACGTCCTCATGTTGTTGTGGAAACATGAATGCAATCGCGTATTCAGTGATAGACTCACTTTACAAGCCGATAAGAATTGGTTTAATGAAGAGGTTTTGAAAGTTGTGAATGAAATGTTGGGAGAAGACTATAGTAAAATGCTTGACAAAGATCCTGCATTTGTGGACTTTATGAGGTAAGTGTAATAGTATATAATATTAAGAATCGATATGAAATTTTTTTCCATTTCTTTCACGATCAACTTTAGAGATGCACCAGAACCAACTGGTGAAGAAGGTGAGGATACTGACGTGGAATTGCCGAAAGTATATGAACCGGTTTATGACGAGCAGATTCTCAGGGAGAGATTAGAAATGTTTCTTTCACAATTCAATGAAATGCAAAGAGGGTCTGGGATGGACTTGGTCTTCTTCCCTGATGCCATGCTTCACTTGGTTAAAATATCCAGAGTGATTAGACATCCGAAAGGGAATGTAATGTTAGTGGGCGTTGGAGGATCTGGCAAGCAAAGTCTCACGAAATTATCATCTTTCATCGCCGGTTATAAAACGTTTCAAATCACTTTAACAAGATCTTATAACGTGGCAAATTTCTTAGAAGATCTAAGATATTTATATCGAACGTGTGGAGCTCAAGGAAAGGGTACCACATTTATATTCACCGATTTGGATATTAAAGAGGAAGGCTTCTTGGAATATTTAAACAATATTCTAAGCTCTGGAATTATCAGCAATTTGTTCACTCGTGACGAACAACAAGAAATCATTTCAGAATTAACACCTATCCTGAGACGTGAAAATCCAAAACGAACGATCAACAACGAGCTTGTAATGGATTTCTTCCTTCAGAGAACTTGCCAAAATCTACACGTTGTACTTTGCTTCTCTCCTGTTGGGGAGAAATTTAGAAATCGTGCTCAACGTTTCCCAGCTCTTATATCCGGATGCACCATTGATTGGTTTCAACCATGGCCTAAAGACGCTCTGATCTTAGTCGCTAAACATTTTCTGCACGATTTTAACATAGTTTGTACCAACGAGGTTAAAGTTGAACTGGTGAACGCCTTAGGTTCTATACAAGACATCGTTTCTATGACATCTACGGAATATTTCCAACGATTTCGTCGCGCTACTCATGTCACGCCAAAATCATACTTGAATTTCATCGGTGGTTACAAGAATATTTACCAGAGCAAGCAATACGAACTCGGGGAAGGAGCTAAGAGAATGGATACCGGTTTAGCGAAATTGGAGGAAGCTTCGATATCGGTGGAAATTTTAAAAAGAGATCTCGATGTGATGGAAAAAGAGCTCGTACAAGCGTCTGAGAAAGCAGAAACGGTCCTCTTGGAAGTGACAGAAAGAGCAATGCAGGCAGAGGCTTTCAAGAATCAGGTGCAAAAGGTGAAGGAGAAAGCTGAACAATTGGTAGCTTGCATAGCAGAGGAGAAAGCATTGGCTGAACAAAAATTGGAGGCTGCTAAACCAGCATTGGAAGAAGCAGAGGCTGCTTTGAACACTATTAAACCGGCTCATATTGCTACCGTGAGAAAATTGGGTAGGCCTCCTCACCTTATCATGAGAATTATGGATTGCGTGTTAATTTTATTTCAACGCAAGATTGGACCTGTTATTCCGGATATGGCTGCACCATGCCCAAAACCTTCCTGGGCGGAATCCTTAAAATTAATGGCTAGCACCACGTTTCTACTTCAATTGCAAAATTATCCAAAAGATATAATAAACAACGAGATGGTCGAACTGCTTCAACCTTACTTTAAGATGGAAGATTATAATATGGAAACTGCCAGACGAGTTTGCGGTGATGTGGCTGGTTTATTATCTTGGACAAAGGCTATGGCTTTCTTTCATTCGGTGAACAAGGAGGTTCTCCCATTGAAAGCTAATTTAGCGTTACAGGAAGTAAGACTCAAGGTAGCAATGGAGGATTTGGCGAACGCCGAAAGAGAATTATCTGAAAGAGAAATGGCTTTGCAAGCGGTTAAAGAACAATACGACTCGGCTGTTTTAGAGAAACAAAGATTGACAGAAGCTGCAAACGTGTGCCTTAGGAAAATGACAGCCGCGACTGCGTTAATCAATGGGTTAGGTGGTGAGAAGATACGTTGGACGGAGCAAAGCAGCGAATTTAAAATTCAATTAGGACGATTAGTTGGGGATGTTCTATTAGCTACGGGTTTTCTATCTTACTGCGGACCTTACAATCAACAATACAGAGCTAGTTTGGTATCTTCTTGGATGAACATTTTGGCAACCAAATCTATTCCCTTCACTGATAATCTAAATATCACGAATATGCTCGTGGACAGTGGAACGATATCGGAATGGACGCTTCAAGGATTACCTAATGATGAATTATCGGTGCAAAACGCGCTCATTGTGACTAAATCATCCTCTTATCCTTTATTAATAGATCCTCAAAATCAAGGAAAAATGTGGATAAAGAACAAAGAATGTATGAACGAGTTACAGATCACATCCCTTAATCACAAATATTTCAGAACTCATCTTGAGGACAGTCTCTCTCTAGGTAGACCGTTGTTGATAGAAGACATAGCAGAAGAGCTGGATCCAGTTCTCGATAACGTGTTGGAAAAAAATTTTATTAAATCTGGTTCCATCGAGAAGGTGATCGTCGGTGACAAAGAATGCGACGTGATGCCAGGTTTTATGTTATACATCACCACGAAATTACCAAATCCCGCGTACAGTCCAGAAATTTCGGCAAAGACATCGATAATCGATTTTACAGTCACAATGTTAGGGTTAGAAGATCAATTACTCGGCAGAGTGATCCTTATGGAAAAATCAGATCTGGAGGCCGAAAGGGTGGCCTTGTTCGAATCTGTAATGACGAATCAACGATCGATGAAGGAATTGGAAAGTACGTTGTTACATCGTCTCACGTCTTCTGAAGGCTCTTTAGTGGACGACGAAGCACTTATAAACGTGCTCAGAGAAACTAAGGTAACCGCAGAATCGGTGAACGAGAAATTAAGAGTGTCCGCGTTAACTGAAAAGAAGATCATGTTAGCCCGTGAAGAATTCCGTGCCGTTGCATCAAGAGGATCTATCTTATATTTTCTTATTGTAGAAATGAGCAACGTGAACGTAATGTATCAAAATTCGTTGAAACAATTTTTGACTATATTTGATAATTCCATTACCAAATCTGTAAAAAATTCTATTACTAGTGAACGAATAAACATAATTCTCCGACATCTTACGTACGAAGTGTGGGCCTTTACTTTGAGAAGTTTATACGAACGGCACAAATCGTTGTTCACTTTGATGCTAGCGATGAAGATAGACTGTCATCGTGGTGCAATTTCTCATACAGAATTCAATGCTTTTATAAAAGGTGGTGCATCCTTGGATTTAAATGCAGTTATCCCAAAACCGTTTAAATGGATTCTCGATATAACCTGGTTAAATTTGGTCGAGATTAGTAAATTAGACATATTTTCGGATATACTGACAAAAATTGAATTTGGTGAAAGAGAATGGCGAATATGGTACGAGAAAGAGAGACCTGAAGAAGAAGAACTTCCTTGTGGATATCAAAAGAAACTCGATGTGTTCAGAAAGTTACTTTTAATCAGATCATGGAGTCCAGACAGAACATTATCTCAGGCAAAAAAATACGTGATTGAATCATTAGGAAGAGAATATGGGGAAACTAAGATATTGGATCTAGAAGCTACTTGGTTAGAATCTGAAGTAAGAACACCGCTTATATGTATACTTTCGATTGGATCAGATCCTAGTCCACAGATCACAATACTTGCAAAACAAAAATCTATTCGTAAGCAAATTGGTAAAATATAATTTACTTGAAAATGAAATCGAGTTATTCGAAATAATGTAATTTTTATTTAAGAATTACGATCAGTCTCCATGGGTCAAGGCCAAGAATTTCATGCTCGAAAATTTATCTCCGATGCTATGAACACTGGAAGTTGGGTATTGCTACAAAATGTTCATTTGTCTCTTCCATTTTGCACGGAAGTCATGGACGCTTTAGTTGAAACAGAAACCGTGCACGAAACATTTAGGCTTTGGATGACTACAGAAGTCCATTCGCAATTTCCTATCGGTTTATTACAGGTTCTAATCTATATTTTTTATATCTTGTAATTTATAAAAATATAATCACATGTAATGCCATTTCAGATGGCCATCAAATTTACAAACGAACCACCGCAAGGTATTAGAGCCAGTTTAAAGAGAACTTACCAGAGTATGACACAAGACACATTGGATTACAGCACACAATCGCAATGGCCACCTTTACTATACGCTGTTGCATTTCTACATACAGTAGTACAGGAACGTAGAAAGTTTGGACCTCTTGGTTGGAATATACCTTATGAATTTAATCAGGCTGATTTTTCTGCTTCTGTTCAATTTATACAAAATCACTTGGATGATATGGATCCAAAAAGAGGTGTATCATGGCCAACTGTTTGCTATATGCTTGGAGAGGTTTGATAATATTAATATTAATATTATTATTATTATTATTATTATTATTATTATTATTATTATTATTACCTTTATTGAAAATGTCCATTTCATATCTTCTTTAAAATTAACAAATATCGTAGGAATAAAACATCTAATATTTATTTATAAATTCAGGTTCAGTACGGTGGCAGAGTCACCGATGATTTCGATAAACGATTGTTAACTACATTTACGCATGTTTGGTTCTGCGATGTATTATTACGATCTGGTTTCGAGTTTTATCGTGGATATAAGGTACCACAAACCAAGAATCTTCAAGGATACTTGGATTACATTGATGGTTTGCCTGCAATGGATACACCGGAAGTTTTTGGTTTACATCCGAACGCGGACATTACTTATCAAATAAACACGGCAAAAGGAATACTTGACACAATTTTGAGCGTTCAACCTAAAGAAGGAGGTGCGCAAGGAGGTGAAACGAGAGAGAATGTCGTATACAAACTTGCCACAGACATGTTGGCCAAATTACCGAAACAATACAATTCGTTCGAAGTGAAAGAAGCGCTTCAACGAATGGGAGCCCTGTTACCGATGAATATATTTTTAAGACAAGAAATCGACAGGTATAATTTTTTATGGAATTTTTTTTCATCCTTCTTTTAAAGATTGTTTCCTTATTAATTAAATTTACAGGATAAGCAAAGTTATTAAAGAAGTGCGCAATACTTTAACAGATTTAAAATTAGCTATCGAAGGTACCATTGTGATGAGTCAAGGTTTGCGTAAGTCATTAGATGCAATGTACGATGCTCGTATTCCGGAAAAATGGTTAAAAATATCGTGGGAATCGGCAACATTGGGATTTTGGTATACGGAACTTTTGGAACGAGATTATCAATTCAGATTATGGTGCATTTATGGCAGACCTAAAGTCTTTTGGATGACTGGTTTCTTCAATCCTCAGGGATTTCTAACTGCTATGCGACAAGTTAGATAAATATGTTTCAATTTATAATTTAATCTAATTTTCCTAAATTTAATTTAATTTCTTTAATATAATGTAATACAATGTTCCATTATATAATATCAATTGAAAAGAATATTATTTTAAGTATTATTTATATTTTAGTAAATTTGAATATTTCGCAGGAAGTGACTCGAGCGCATAAAGGATGGGCTCTTGATTCTGTAGTGTTGCAAAATTTGATCACAAGATTTAATAAAGAAGATATAAAAAATCAACCTCAGGAAGGAGTATATGTTCATGGCCTATTTTTGGAAGGAGCCTCGCTCGATCGTAAAACAAGCAAATTAGTAGAAAGTAAACCGAAAGTTCTATATGAACAAATGCCAGTGATATATATTTATGCAATAAATACAACTGCAGGAAAAGACCCGAAACTTTATGAATGTCCTATATATAGAAAACCGCAAAGAACAGATTCGAAATACATCGGATCGATAGACTTCGAAACCGATCATAATCCTCGACATTGGACATTACGAGGTGTAGCTCTTTTGTGTGACATAAAATAAAATAAAATATCTCAATGGTTTCTCAATTTTTATTATTCTTTCTATTTCTATTATTTTCTTATTCTATCTATTTATTTTATCTATTTATACATTAAAAAACAACAAAAATGTTATATACAACTAATAGACTTAATGAGTTCAAACATTTTTTTCTTTTTCAATATGCACATTTATCAATCCTATAATCATTAGTACTTTTTTTAAATTTATTGTGTTTTTGTGAAAAATATATATTAGCTATATTGACTATAATAAAAGATTAATTTTCAATCTTTTTAAAAATGTTCTAATAGTAGTTATTCTATAAATTATTCTATTATATATTCTATAAATAGTTCATTCATAGAATAATTAATTTTTTGATTTTTTAAAATATAATATCTTCATTTTTATTTATATTATATTCTATTACAATACTTTTTTTTCGATTTTATATATAATTTATAAATATTATAAATTTATTAGTATTTTGAAAAATATAAAATATAGAAAATGATATTCACAATATGCAAATTAAAAAGCAAATTAAAAGAAAATTAAGAAATGATTAAGAAATTAAATCCAATTCTAATTTTTATTTCAAATCTAATTTAGATTTTTATATATATATAAAAAAAATATTATTTCCTGTAAAATAAAAATTAAATTGTTATAAAATATTGAATAAAAATTTATAAAATCAAAATAATTGTTTTTAGTAATATAAATATGTGGCTTTAAAATATTTATTGATTAAATTCAGATTTTAATAATTTAAATATTACTATAGAAAACAATTTTCGTTTGCTAATAAAAAAGAATATTATTTTTATTTTTCGTTCCGCCCTAATATATACCCATAAATATAAATATATTAAATAGGAAAAGAAAAATAATATAAAATTTATTTAAATAGTTATTTTTTTTCTGCATTTTTTATATTGGAATGATTTAAAATTCTGTAAGAAAAAAAGTAGAAGACAATAAGTAATCTTTCATATTATAATATATTGATTTTAAAATAAAATATATAATCTTTCGTGAAAATTATGTTAAACACAAATCTATAAAATTTATATATATTTAAAAAAATAATTTTATATCATAAAAAATTATATTTCTAAAAAATTTTATTATAAAGAACAAAAATCTTTGGATAGAAAAATTTTAAATCTATATTTGAAAAATATGTTTTAAAAATATAGATATAATATCTAGATATATTTATATTTTAAAGTTTTTCATATATAAAGTAAAAAAATTAATTAATATTTTCAAATATTTCGATATAAAATTAACAAAAACTTTGTAATTTTCTTCTAAGAAACAAATTTGCTTCAAAATTTATTTTAAAATATATAAAAAAAAATACTTGTTAACAAAATATTCTTATTAAATATAATATATGCATAAAATTCATGTTTTATTTTTAGTAATTCTACTATGTCAAAAAATTTACTATAGTGTCTATCATTTTTTGTAATGCACGTAATTCAGTTTCACTTTTTGTTTCTCCTAAAGCAAGTTCTACAATACTAGGACATGTATTTATTCTCATAGCTATGATGATATTTTCTGAAGATGGAATACATAGAGATGTAAAATCTAAACCAATATCTATCAATATATCTTCAAATTTTTTTATTAAATGTTCTATACATTCCTCCGAAGCATGACTTTGATTTGATGGGATAACAGATAAAATTCTTTCAATTATTTCTTTACGTTTTTCATCATCATATTGAGACTTAAATTGAATATGATATTCTGATAACTTAACACCTAAATTAATTTTTTTAGCTGTAGGTAATTTTGAAAGTTTAGTATATTGAGCCTTAGCAATTTTGTTAGAATCATCCATTTTCTGATCAATATTTTGTTTTTCTTTGTCAATCATATCACTTAAATCAGGTACTAAATCAGTTAGTTTATCTAACATTTTTTTAGCAGCTTCTTGCTTAGCTTGCTTTTTCGTTTTTGCAACACCAATTTCTTTAAAAGTTGCTACTTCACATTCAATAGTAAAAATCTTTGCATGTGGAGGTCCAATATCACTAATTTGCTGATACTTAGGATCTTGTAAATTGTTTTCAGCACATAAATCCTACAATAATTATTAATACATGATATTTTATATATTGCAATGAATCAATAATATTTAGACAGATAAATATGACTTACTTGTAAAGCACCAACTGCATTAACAAATGGTACATCTGGTGGAATTCTTGGTATTTCAGGAATTGTTGGTGGTAAAGGTGTTCTCACAGGTGATTGAGCAGGTGATGCTGGTAATTGTAAATAACCTCTATGTGTTGCAATAATTTCTAGCATTGCTTTTGCAGCTTCATGTTTTGCATCTTTCTTAGAACGTCCAATACCAGAAGCAGTAAGATCATCACATTTTACTCGATACGCAAAAACATTCATATGTGTACCTCCTCCATCATGTATAAGTTCATAATTAGGTGTTATCTTATTTTTTACCATCATTTCTTGTAAAATAGATACTGGTGTTTTATTCATTTTAAATACAGATTTCTTAATTCTATTAATTTATAACCACTTTCTATTAACAATAGTGTAATTTTACATTAAATTAAATTTATATAATTTTTCTTGATATATTTATTTATACATCATATTATCTGTAAAATGATAAATATATTGATAAATATATAAAAATTTAGAAAATAAAATATAGAAAAATCTTTTTGCATAAAATATTTAAATTTGTAATACAATATATTTCATCAAAAATAATTATTAATTAAAATAATGATTCAAAATAAACAAACAATTATAATCAATACAATAATATTATAAGATATATAATCGATATATTTATAATTTAATTATAATAATAATATAATAATTATAATAATAATATTAATTATAATATTGTAAGAAAAACAAATTAATATTAATTATAAATATATATAAAAATGATATAAATCTTCACAAATTATCTTGTATAATTTTATATTTCATAATATATTTTACAATATTTTATTTAATAAAATGTATTCATAAAAAAAGTTCAATTAATTTCATTTTTTGTTAATAATTATACTTATATAATACTTACCTCATCTTGAAGAAAAGATATCTTTCACTTAAATTGAAATAAGAACTATTGGTCAGAAAATAACTCATTCCAAAAAAAAAGTGTTTATTCACTTCATAAATAAGGGAAGAACAAAATAGATCACTTTCGAACTTTATGATTTGTTTTCAACATCAAAAAAAAAATTTATTTCAATTCATGTTAATAAACATATGAAAAAAACTAGTTTTTATATTTAACTTTTAACTTTATTTTAACTTTTTTATATTTTATTGTTTATCTAAATAAAATATATATATTTTGTACTCTCTATAATCGTTTATAAACTGTTTGTAAAATTTATAATTTCTTAATTTGATATTTCCATATTATTGTTGGTATCCTTTTCTAATTGTTCGTAATTTTGTATTTTCCTTCGAGCTATATATATAAATAAACGAAAACGGATATATTTTATAGTCTTTTCATTTATTTTAGACATAAATAAAAAATAATAATAATATACCATTACGTTCTCTGGGCATGATATACAGACATGTCCTAATGAAAGAGCTCGTACCCATTATATTCTATGTAATTAAAAAGGGAATTCCCCTTTACAGGTTAATATAAATTTTAAAAATTAATATAAATTCTATTAAAATACTTTGTTACAAAACAATTGATTATTGGCATCACTTTGTTTCAATACCAACATATATGATTAAGATAAATTTTAGTAAAATAATTTTTATAATTTATAATATATATTATTATATATTGAAATATATAAATATATTATATGTACATACAAAATATATTAATAAACACATTATATACTCTTTCTTTAAATTTTGATTTAAATTTAATATATTATAATATAAAACGCGTGACTATCTTATTAGTGTATAGTATAATGTACTGATTTCTAACCTCGTCAAATTGTGATAATATAAAACATTAGTAAGGATATTTGATGTCATTTTATCGTGTTAATAAACATTAATTTTAATATCGATTAGAGTAGAATTTATTTTATTGTAATAGTAATTAATATATTTTTATTAAATGTGTATAAATACGTTATAAGAAGATCACAATTATATGTTAAATTCAAACAATGATGAATTTTTCAAGAATTTGGATCATAGAATTTAATGCTTTATTAAAACATATCAGATATTTAAGAAATTATAGAAATGTTTCAATACCATCTAAATTAATAAATATACAGAATAATTTTTTATTTAATTTGTATAATGTAAATAAATTTTCTACTGCAAATATATTATTAAAAAATAAAGATCGATATAAAGAGAAAAAAAAAGTAATACATGTTAATCTTGATGAAATAAATGATATTGTAAAAGTAAAACGTATGATATCACAGTTTGATGGAACAATTGAAAAATATAAAGATCAAATGATAAAAAATCTACCTTTACGCACAAGAATAGGTGCTATAGAAGAATTGACTGTAACATTTGAAGGTGAAGAACATAATCTTGAAGAGCTTGTAGAAATTAATCGTAAACCTAATATGATAATATTAAATGTATCTGTATTTCCACAAATAATTCCAAATATTTTAGAAGCTCTATCAAAATCTCAAATGAATTTAAATCCACAACAAGAGGGTACAACTATTTATATTCCAATACCTAAGTAAGTTTTCTTAATATTAAATATATAATTTATTGTTTTTGTTTAATGTATTAATATTATTATAAAATTTAATAGAATTACAAAAGAACATAGAGAACTTTTAACAAAAAATGGCAAAACAATATTTTAATAAATGCAAAGATATTATTAGTGATATAAGAAATGAACATATTAAAGAGTTGAAAAATCATGAAAATGCACCAAAAGATTTAATTTTTAAAGCTGAAGATTATATAAATGCTATACAAAAAGAGTATGTAAAAAAAGCAGAACAATTATTAAAATCAAAACAAAAAGAACTTTTAGGAGAATAATTTTAATTTTTATATTTTGTGTTTAGCATAAGCATATATAAATATATCACATCATATATTTGCATTTTTTGTTTTGTAAAATTCTAAAATGTATATATATATATATGTAATAAATATTGTTTATGATATAAAAATGTTATTATTATTATTGATTGTTTTTTATTATATTTTATTTTATATTACATTAATAATAATTAATAATTTATTGAAATTATTTAAATATTAATAATTTGTTTGTTAAAGTTAAAATTTTTATTATATTGTATTATATTGTATATAATATAATTAAAATTATATTATATATAATTGATAATTGAATAATTATGAAACAGAAATTTTATAATAGCATTTCAAAATTTATTTATACATAGACAATATATAAATGTTATAATAGGTTATATTATTATTATACTATTATATTATTATTACATTATTATACTAAATAAACAATACTTAGTATTTGGCAAATTATTACATATTATGTATAATTTAAATTTTTTCTTTTTTATACAATTATCTATATATAATTATTTTATTCATATTTTTAATATATAATCAAAAAGAGCTTTGCAAAGAGTTCTTGTGGCAGTTTCTAAAATTTCTTTTTTATGAAAACTTATACTAATTCGTAGAAAATTATGAGATTTTTCTAAATATGAAAATCGTATCCCAGGTATGGCAGATACTTTATATGTTTTTTGACACCATTCAATAAAATTATTGCCTTTTATATCTATAAGTGTTAAAAAAATTAAATTTTCTTTTAATATAAAAAATTTATTTATTATAAGTAATTTAAAAATATATTACCTAAGGGAAGATGAATCCATACAAAATAACCACCTTCTGGTTTTTTATATGAACAGCCTTGTGGTAAACAATGATCCAATACATTACATAATACAGTTAATCGTTCCTATATAAAATACATTCATTTATTTTTATTATCTATTGTTATCTATTTTTTTAAATATAAATGTTTAAATTTTTTTGAAATATCTATATTTGCTTTTAAAATTTATTTAAATTTATTAAATATGCATATATATATTGATTATAATTTTTAAACTTCAATCATGAAGTATAAAAATACTGTTCAAATAGAAATTTAATTCAATTCATGAAACATACCTTGTATATTTGTATTAATTTATCGAGATAATTATCTTGCATATTAAGTTGTAATAAACTTGTAACAACACCGAATATATAATGATTAACTGCACCACCGCTGCATAAGATTCCTCTATAAGATATTAATTTATAAAAATCGAATAATAATATATATGTTATTTCCTAAAAAATTTATATATCAAAAATATTTTTTATCATATTTTTTTTATTTAATCACTCAAAGAAATATATATATATATAATTTTGAAGTATACATTACTTTTTACAATTATAGTTCTCTTATCAATTTATATCACTTAATATCCTATTTAGCAACTTTGTAAATCTTTGTAAATAAAATCTTTGTAAATACAACATGTATTTCAATTTTTGAAAATGCGATTATAAATCACTTATTCTTAAAATTATTCTTAAACTCTAAATAATCAAATCCTCAATATCTGATTATTAAATTTTAAGTTACTAGTCATTCTATGTTAAGTTGTCTACATCTTCATTCGCATATTCTTCGCAATATAAGTAAGTATAAATAATTATAAATAATTCCTATGCAAATTTAAATTCATTGGCGCTGCTAATTTAATAACTAATTTAAATTTCAATATGTCTTATCTATATATATCTTAATATTAATAATTAAAAAAATGAAAAGAATACTAGAAAAGAAATATTATACTTACGATTGTCTAAAAATCTTGGCAATTCGTGGACTACATTCCATCCATCCGAAACGAAGACCAGGAGAAAAAATTTTTGAGAATGTCCCATTAGATATAATATTACCATCTCGATATTCAGAATCTGTTGGTTGGTCATAAAAAAATAATCGATGTGGTGGTAAACCATCTCCATAATACAATAAGTTGTATACATCATCACAGGCGATTATTATAGAATTTTTTCGTGCTATTTCAACGAGACGCTTACAATTTTCTATTTAAATAAAAAAAATAAATAAAAAGATCTTTTAAATTTTTAACAAATTGATAAAATATACAAATTTTTAATTTACCAATAAGTAAAGTTGATCCAGTTGGATTATGAAAAGTGGGTATTGTATAAAACATAGCCCAGAATATTTTTTTGCTCATTTGTTAAAAAATTATGATTATATTTCTGTTCCATAACTATTTTTTCAAATGCATTAACATCTACCATATCATTTTTCATTGGTACTATATTAAAAATAATAAATAAAAAAAATATATATATATTTATTTATTTTAATCGATTTTATTATTTTAAAAACTTTAATAAAAATTTGATATAATTCATTTTAAATATTAATATAACTTATGAATTATATTCTCTATATTCTACATATAAATAAAGATTAATTAGCATAGTCTAGGTTTATTAACATTAATTAAATTTATAACATAAATGAGAAAAATTTGAAAAATACATACCTGTGATTATTTTCATTAATGGAAATTGTTTAAAAGTATCTAAGGCTATCATATAAGTGACTTCCTCTACAAAAATTATTCCGTTTGGAGCGATAATGGTATTCAATAAAAGTTGCAAACCATGTGAAGCTCCACATGTTAAAATTAAATTTTCACGTTTCACAGGATCACCGTAACGTCTAGTTAAAAATTTTGCTAATTCTTCACGACATTCCCATAAGCCTGCTGTAACGCCATATTGAAACAAATAATACTTTCCTTCTTTCGTTTCTTCTTCCTAAAATGAAATATTCTTTCAGTATAACCATTAAAATCATTAGTAATAAATTAACACGTATTGTAATAAAATTTTATATGTTTTTAACTTTTTACCAATCGATGATCTGTTGCTTTTTTCATCATTTCTACACAATATTGGAGTAAGTCAGGACCGGGAGCACCAACTGATAAATTTGTTATTTCTTCTTTATAAACATTAAATGTAGAATCGTCGTCGAAAAGATGTCTTCGATATGGATCACTTATGGTTTCCATTGTTACAAATTGAGTTTTCTGCAATAAATAATTCAATCAATTTTTATCAAAAGTCTTATTGCTATGAGTTGTTGTATTACTCGTTACTATTTCATATGCTAATTGCTAAATGTAACGAATTAATTTGCAAAACACTTTTTTTTTCATCGTTTCATTTATTTAATTTATAAATCAAGATTCGATTCGTAAATTATATTCGATTATATTTTTTTCTTATTCATATTATAATTACCAAATTATATTAAAACAGACGAAATATAATTTATGTGAGTCTAATCTACATGATTATGCATAATCGGCGATAACAAATGAAAAGAACGAGTGAGGGAAAAGAGAGTGGGAAAAATTATAACGTAGTAGAATCTCTTGGATCGTTTCATTCGTCTACGAGAATTACAAGAAAGAATTGTACCGTTGAGTGGGGGAATGCCGGTCATTTAAACGTTTCAAATATTGTTTAGCATTAATTTGTTTTGTCTAATATAATATTATTCAATTCAATTAATTAATATTCATATGATTTGCATTACTTCATTGAAACATTTAGCAATTTGTTTCGCGAGTGAAAATTTGATACATATTTCTTTAAAATTTCCTGAAGTAAATAAAAAGCCATCATATCACGATAAGACATTTTATTATGGTAATTTTTTTTTCTGCAATTTATTGTAAATTTGAGACAAATTTATTTATTTATTTATGTATATCAAACAATATATAAAATATGATACATAATTATAATATAATAATAAATATGAGATATTGGTGCAAAAAAAGAAACAAACTATGAGCTCTCGTAAGAATGATGATGGTTCTTTATTACAATAACTTCTTTACGATATATAATGATATTATAAAGTTTTATAAGTTCTATGTCCACAACCGAATGGCAAATGCAATTCCTTGCAACTATTTTATCCCGGCTATCGAACGGTATTGTACAATTTCAAATTTACGCTTGCAGTTGTCACTGCTGATTTTACACGGAATCGTAGGGACAGGAATAATGTCGGGAGAGGCATATGGGAGAAAGACACGTTTTCTCATTCTTTTTTTTTTCTTTTTCTCGCGATACACGTTGATCCGTTCGGCAACACAATTATTGATACAAATATAATATATTACAGGAAAAAAAGTCAACGTAATCATTAATAACGCTTAACACAATGTACATTCTTTTTTGTTTTACCATCCTTTACGTAAGAGCATGCATTTCGCGTGCAACGAGATTAGAAATTTGTGCAATTTTATTATTATCAAAAATATATCGTACAATATATAATTAAATAATTTTTTTTTTAAAATTGGTCCCAGTTCTATCACAGAATCTCGAGCATTGTTAAAAATTTGATCTTTGCTACACTATCATGAATGAGATCGCAAATCTCGTGCACGCTTGAACATGTTATTTTAACTAATCGAATACAATGACTCGATGTATCCCTTTTTTGTAGTTTTTTTTTTCTTTCTTAAATTTCAAATTTGAACACGATCATATAATACGATTTCCCTAATAACGAAATGTGTGCGCCATTTTTTATTATTTTTTTCTTTTTTTCTTCCGCGCGTTCCCTGTACACAACATGGCACGTCCTAATCCTATGATTACGCGGCACAGCATAACCCCATATATAATTCGCATATCGGCGCTGCGCTTAGTTTATTTCGTTTATGATTTTCTCTTTCGTACGTCTTATTTTCGATATGAAAAAGAAAACATATAGATTACTTATTTTACTCAAGTACTTTTTTCCGTTTTCTACGTAATGTAGAATATCTTACGCGCTAATCACTAATCTATGTACAGACGCGTTTCTACGAATAAAAATCGAGATAATTTCGTGCGCTCGACCGAGGCCAATTTCATTGGTCCCACGTATAAAAGGCGATGGCATAAAAAAATATAGAGCATCGTTAAAACATTTTATTAAGTAGAGCCGCAAGACAAGAATCTCGGGAAACAAGCGTCCATTTCTTTCATTGTTCTTTTGAATACTTTTATGAATCCCTGGATTCCGATTGATCTTCGTGTTGCGACTCAAGAAACTCGTTACTATTTACTAGGCAGTAAATTAGGACAATTCGTTACTCGTACTGTCGTAGCTTACTGCAATATATATATTTATATATAGAGAGAGAGAGAAAGAGAAGAAAAGAGAAAGCAAGAGAGGATAAACGATCGAAATGTTTCTTTTGTCCTCCGAGTAAAATAGTTCTTTGAGTAATAGTAAAACGTTTCTTATCACAGTCAAGGAGCGAACCGCACTGATATTCCGCACCACGAAGAGGCTTTAATTTTCGTCAGATCTTTAATTTAATTTCTGCCTAAAAGAGCCCCGTGTGCAATTTTTGACAGCTCATGCATGATCAATCGCGTGAAATATACAATTCAAAGAACGAAAGAGAAGAATACAGGATACTTGTATGTAATAATTTTATTCTTTCGACAAATGTCCGCGCGTTTAAAACAATTTTCTTCTATTTCAACACGTTAATATTATTAGAAAAAAAAGAAAGAAGGAGAAAAACAGATATAAAAAGATTAAACAAAGCGAAATCGCGCGAACGTGGCCCATCGAAGTTAATTGAAGATCGAAGACAGAGATAGGAAAGAAACAATTATTTATGCCATTTACTTGCACATCGTTTCCCTAAACTTTTAATAGTCTTATACAAGTGGTAGATAGTACTTTTTCTTTTCTTTATTTACAAGCCACGGTAAATGGCACATTAAGATTATCTTTGCACTACTTGTTCATCGCACGTACGCTTTTTAATAGTTCATGACGCGCATTTTTTATTCGCTAGTCAGCTCGTTGAGAAGTGAAATTAGCACAGTTTCATACGTTTTACATCTAATCACAATCAAACACGGCACTTTTGAGCAAAGTGTCCTTTGTAAGTACACTGTGAAGAAGTTTCCTCAAGAACGAGGAGCCGGATACATTCGTATTTACGCCATTTTTTACGTTCATGTATTTCACCTGTTGCGCTCGAAATCGAAACACTCGATCAACAGACGATTGAACGATATCCTGGCTTTCGAATTTCGAAGCCTGGCATCATAACGTTATAGTTCATATTTAACGTCGTTTCACTTGGAATCAAACGGTCGTTTCGTTCTTCCTAAGGGGTTTCAGCGGTTGCAATTCACGTTCCAAACGATCGAAATCGTTGTAATACTCATGATCGGATTCTTCTTCGGAACTCCTTTGTCTCACTTGAGACCCAAAAGTTCCATTGGTTAAAACCTTTTCCAGATCAGGTGTCGGAATACCTATCGTTTGCGGAGTCAGTGGTCCTTCGTCCTGAGACATTATGTATTCTGGATTATCCAACGATGTTTTTCCTTGAATGGTGAGGAATTCAGGATACTTTCGGTAACCGTTATTTACTCGCTTTGGTTCCATTTCTGGAAATGACAACAGTAAGAATTATACGAGATCATTTACATTCTAATAGTTTCATATTCGAGATGATTTGGAAAAGATCTCGTGCTTACCCGTAGGTTTCGAGTCCCCTATGAGATCCATGTATTGCGTCGTATTCGTTGGCAATTGCGGCGATGGCATCAAATAATCGTCTTCGTCCAATGGCAAATCGAGCTTTAGATTACCTACTTGAGCTTGCTGATGAGCAGAGTTCACTTCACCGTCGAAACAATCATCTGTCACATCGCAATCTATGTACGTAATAATAGAATATATTGTTATTTAATATTCCATATATCCCATATTTATTATGTTGTGTAACATATTAACATTTATAACCGTTACTCCATAATTTTTAGATTACAATAAAAATGGATGATCACAATTCTTTCTGTCACAAATAAACAAGAATTTCATTCATGGAGATATTAATTATTAATTCTTATTTGTAAATAATAACATTAACGTTTACACGATGCATTACGACATTAATGAAATATTTAAGAAGAAGCTTAAAATTCTAAGTAAATGGTAACTCATAATCAAAAACTCACCTCTGACATCGATCATTTTCAACGGATCCGAACAATATCTCGAAGCTGTGCTATCCGATCCCACAACGTGTCCACAATGGCCGTTCGGAGGCGTGTAATGCCCGTGTTGTGCGGAATTTCCTGGTTCGTGCGATACATTTCCATTCCTGTGATTCGCGCCATACCTCAACAATTCCCTGTCCCAATTTTGTTGATTCTGGGGCGTGGGAGAGTCAGCGGCTAGTGGTTTTCCATTTGGCCAGCAAGGCTTCACAGGCGTGTTTGGCGGAGAGCCGGAAGTACTGGATGCAGAAAGTCCTGGTGGAATCGGAGCCCTGGATTTTGGCTGCAGATACTCGTCAGCATCTACTAAAGCCTCGGGACCGTCCATAGCTGATGCAAGATTTCGTATCATCTCCTTTTCGTCCTAAATAAATTAAACATTGAAAGATTATTTGAAATGAATTGAAATCATTTGCAAATTTTTTTTCAAGTTTTATTGTAAAATTAAAGAACAAATTTTAATATTCTATAATTAAAATTTGTCCATCTATGAACTAGATAACTAACCTGCAGTGTATACGAAGGTAGTCTCATGTATTTATCGCCCTTGATAGCAAGATATCGGCCAGGATCTCTAGACATCTTCGCAAAGTCTTCCGCCAATTCTTTAAAACTAGGCCTCGATTCGGCGTCCAACATCCAACATTTGATCATAATCATATACACGTCAATTGTACAAATCGCCGGTTGAGGTAATCTTTCGCCTTTCTCCAATAATTCTGGCACGTTTCGAGCAGGCACGTTTTCGTACGGTCTACCGCCATAAGTAAGAACTTCCCAGATAGTCACACCGAAAGCCCAAACATCCGATTTGTGGGTGAACACTCGGTGTTGAATGCACTCCAATGCCAGCCATTTGATCGGCATCTTGCCACCAGCAGCCTTGTATTGTTCCTCGTTGATGTCCAACAACTTGGCCAATCCGAAATCGGTGATCTTAACGCAATTAGGCGTTTGCACGAGAACGTTTCGAGCTGCAAGATCTCTGTGAACCAATCTTCTCTCCTCCAAATAGGCCATCCCTCTGGCAATCTGTGTACACCAATTTAGCAACGCTTTCGAGCCAATTTTATCTTTAAATCTGCGCACGAAGTCGAGGAGGCAGCCTAAAGGCATCAATTGGGTCACCAACATCATTTGTGACGTCATGCAAACGGCCAGTAATTGAAGCAAGTTCGGATGTTCCACGCTGGCCATGATGTACGCCTCGTCTAAGAATTCTTTCGAAGTGTTCGCTCCTGTACCATCGTGCAAAACTTTTATAGCCACTGGAATCTTCACGTTCTCCCCTTCGGGTACCCAAACACCTTTGTAAACATTTCCAAAAGCACCGTATCCTAAAATCCCACCCTTTCTCATTTCTTCTTCCTTTATTATACGTAATTTGGCTAAATTTGGCTTCACGCCAGTTGGACGAAGGGGCTCGTTGTCGTCCAAACCAGTTAATGCCATTGTCATTTTCACGGTGTTTTCTTTGGCTTTTGCTCGTACACGCCAGAAATACATGATGATGGCCGCCACCACTAGGAACGCTAAAGCAAATACTGCGACACCTGCTAAGATAGCCGGTTGAAGCTCGTTTTCTATTAGACCAGCGGTCTCAAGCGAACAATACGGTTCGCTGTCTGGATTGAAGATTTTGTGAGGGTATTCGGGAGTACACGTTTCGGTGCAGTTGAAAGATGTAGTGTTCCCATCTATATCTTCATCCTAGAATAAAAGAAGAGAAAATATTTAAACTTAGATAATTTTGCACGATACTTAATGAATATCATTTGCCAAGAAACACTGAAAGTTTTAAGATATTTGAAGAATCATTCTACAACAATTTACTTGAATCAATCTATTGAATATTACTGATATTACAAAATAAATTTTCTTTCATAAATCAAGAATGATAGTATATCGAATCATTTATTAGAATTAAAAAAAAAAAAAATAAGATTTGCAAATTTAGAAATATTTAAAAAATGAATATATACGTACAATATAGATCTTATAATTCCGACATTTATAACATTGATTAGGCCCGGTCCAAAACATCCTCGGCACTCGCTGAAGCACGGTATACAAAGTTTATTGGCGTCTGCAAAATAATCCGCGGGACATTCATCTTCACACTGTTCACCCCTCTTGTATTTTGTACATTCTTGGCACACATGTTCGTGGAAACCGTATCCCGTGCATTTCTTGCAACGAGAATGACATTTGCGACAAACAGCCTTGCCTGCTAATGGTTTCAGTGGCCCTTGCTCTAGAGGACTCACCCATTCGTAATAATATCCTGTAATATAAAATTATTGCATCACAATTGTCATTCAAGGTGTGCTGAATTTGTAATAACAGACAAATTTTGAAAAGAAATATTACATCTTACTTCGCATATGTGATATTATACAGGTTTATCGAATATCTCCATTATTCGACAATATGAAAAAATTTCATAAAATAATCAAGTACCTATATTTAAAAATTATTTTATCATCCGTTATTCGATGTTCGAAATTCCATAGATTTGGAATAAATTAATAGCAATTCCACAAAAAAGTTATGGATTCGAATTTTATTAAAGTACGAGATTCGAAACATTAATAAAGGAGTATGTATAGGAATGAACGACAAACCAAACAAACCGATTCTTGAAAATCAAGTTACGATTTGAAGTGTACAGTTAAGCGTACTAGAATTTCAGCTCGATAAGAAGCTTGTCCTCATTGAAATGAAATAAATGCTTGGTCACCTACCGTCAGGACAGGGCTCCTTTTTTTGCAGACATCCTTCAGGTACATGGTCGTTGAGGATCGCCTTATCGCAACTGTGGCATCCATTAGGGCCTATGTTGTTTTCAGGTCCCTCGCAACCACCCACGCAGTTCCCGTGACAGCTTTTGCACACACCGTTGTCATTATATTTCGAGGCCGGGCACTCTGGCACGCAAAATGGACCGTCTCGCGCGTGTTTGCATTTCTTACAGTGATCCGTGTTCGGCCCTATGCAAGAACCATCGCACTCCTCGTGGCACACTTTGCAAGTCTTCTCGTCCGCCTGGTAGATTCTGGAAAACGGTATAAAAATGATTGTTTTTTCTTTTCGATAAGAGAACGGGGTAATGTTTAAAAAGAGAGCAAAAAGCGTGTAGCGAAAGAAACGAAAGCCTTCTCAGGTATTTTACCTTCGATCCACAATCTGAGGTAGGCAAATTTAACATAGAGAAGTAACCCGTGTTATTTACGTTACGACACAATTGATACGAGTTTCTCGAGTGAATTTTTATTCTTACCCTGGCGCGGTGCAGTCTTGAAGGCAATCGTTTCCTAAAATAAAGTTCTTGCAGGATAAACATTGTGCCGGGCCGGGCCCCCAACAACCTTCGTCGGAACATTGCTCGTCGCACACTAATCCATCTTTTACTGTAATTGTGAAAGGTATTTATATAATATACGTATTATAAATTTACATAATATCACTATTATCTATACTATTTTTTTATCGTTTTATCTCAATACATGTATATGTATATATTATGTAGATAATATAAAAATTTTCGTGATACAAATATGAATAACCAATAATTCATGTATTAAATGTCATTTCTCTTATTGGATAAATCGAATAATGAAAAAAAGAATCGAATTAAAATAATGTACTCACTACATTCGCTTTCGTTCCGATTATTGGACAACAAACTCTCATGCTCCGACGATTTCTTGATCCTGGTCCAATTGATACTTTGCGCGTAGCATAGATTCTTGTTCTCCAGAATGGCTATCGAGCCGGAATAAATTTTCTTGAGAGAGCTAAGCCCGAACGAGACCAACGACGTTTTCACAACGTACAACGATGCAAAGTACTCGGTCAAAGTTCTTCCGCCTATCACCTCCAAATTCCGAAAATACGATAAATTCTTGAAATCCTTGTGATCGCCTTGAATATTTAAAAACCCGGTGATCTCCTTCAACGTACTGAACACCTCCAACTTGTCCGGGTGCATTTTCTCGTATCGTTTGCCGAAACTGAAATTCCTGTACACGTGTTGGAATCCTTGAAAGCTTTGGTCTAGAATTGTGATGGATCCCTCGATGATGGTGCAGTCCTTGAAGCTGTCGATGTTCCCGGAATGCACTTTCTCGACACCTTTGCAGGTTTTCGGGCAAGGTCCGTCGCAGGGCACGCATTCACCGTTCAACGCCTTCTTTTTGGGCGGGCAAGATCTTACGCAAGCCCCGTTGTCTTTCAGAAGGTGTTCCGGGCATCTTCTCACGCAGGTTGCGCCATACGCGTACTTGCCGTCAGGATTAGGCTCCCACGAATACGTCGTAGGATTGTACCTGGAAGAAATGATCGTCGTAATCCTCGACTAGTAGTGCCCAGAGTCGTAAAGCTTTGGAGTTTTCAACTTTTAACGCGATTTCGCATCCGGGAAATCGCTATTGGTAAGCAGGAAAGATTTATCGATGATAAGGATATTGTTGTAAAACGCGCGGTAAGCCCGAACATCAACGTGGTTTGATAGACCATTCTTACGTTTCTAGTTCTTGATTACTCATTCCGATATACAATCCATGAAATATTATATTACTTTGATGCACGATATTGTTAGACATGCAAAACGATTCTGCGATCTGGAGGTATTGGTTTTTATTAATTGCGTGGGTGTAGCGAACGAATTTTATTATTTCAACCAATGCAAGGATGGAATGACGTTTAACAAAGATCGAGCTATCGATCGATCTTTTACGTAGATAAATAAGAAATATGCTTTTTTCCCCCATTTCTTTATGTATAAAGGATCAATAATTATATAGGGATAAATATCTTCGATATTCTAATTATTTTAATTATCTATTACTTTCCCTTTAGTATTTATCATATTCTGTATATACCAAAGGATTTATAATGAATAATTACTATTACTATTAAAAAGTGCATGGACAATTTGTCGATGAAAATTGAAACCCGAGCGCGACCCAGATTCAAGTTCGTGCGTAAGAGGGGGGCGCAACGAGATACGGATCATTCTACTTACTTTTGCATGGGCGGGCATTCCTGCGTGCACACACCGTCATCGAAGAAGTTTTTGCAGGCGATACAGTCGCTCTGTTTCGGGCCTGTGCAGCCACCGGCGCAAAAAAGATGGCAACACTCCCGCGGATTGGGCCCGAAGCACCTGCCCTGCCAGCACTGAGGCGAACAGTTTGTCTTCGAGTACTTCTGACAGTTCTCAGGCCCCTCGCCCCAGCAGCCTTGCTCGCAGCTCTTATCGCAGGGTGTACACGCGCGTTCCGGCGACGTAAAATTGTACACGTAGGAGTACATTGCACTCGGCCCTGTGATTATTTCCTCCCAGTTGATCGTGCGGATGTGGCACAGGTTGTAGTTGTTGTACATGCCCACGCTGCCGTTGAGAATATCTGGCAACGACACGTTTGATTTAGTTATTATGGTCAAATCGTGAAATTCGAACTCTATTTTTCCTTTTTTAATAACAATGGTATTGATAAATAATATTTGTTAATGTTTGGTAATAGTTAAAAATTTATTGGAATTTTAAAACTTCAAGTATTGAGTCTCGTTCATAGAAAATAAGAAATCAATGAAGTTACCTCTAAGGGCTGGCATCTCCAGGTTCTGCATCTGACACATGGTGACGAATAGGGCGAACTCGATGTCATGAATGGTGAGCTTGAAGAGCGTTCTTCCTCGTATGATCTGCAATCGCGGCAAAACGATCTTCTTGACGTCCACGTGGCTGATGAGCACGTAACCTGTGACCTCCCGTATATACTGGAGGAAACTGAGGTCGAATGTCTCGTTCTGGAGCCATGTGATCTCCAGATTGCCGTCAACGTAAGTACAGTTGGTGTACCGGTCTCGAAGATTCCGGTAGTGGTGTTGTTTGTTGGACGGAACAGAGAGGCGGCCATTGGTTCCAATGCAAACTGTAACAAAAAAGAAACAAGTATTTAATATACACGTCAAAGAAAAAAATATAACTCATATACACAGTTATAATATATTTCGCAATAATCGCAATAGTAAAATTTCAAATATATATAAATTAATTCTACTTATATTTGTAATTATAATATTACAAAGTTTTATCATGTAAATAATTGTAAAAGTGTTTCTCATTTTAACTAAGTACGTAATTTCTTTTAAAGAATAAAATATACAAAATAAATTAGATCTATTAAGACATAATTAACACTTCACATATAATTAATACTAACACTTATCAAATATTTGGAGTTAGGTCTCCGAAAATTCTTCTGTGGAAAAAATATATTCTTTTTCTTCAATTTATTTGAACATTTACGAAATCCTCTTAATCGTTCTCCACAATTTATAGGCGTTTGAACAAAATACTCAAATGTCATCGTTCGAGAAACACGTGTTTGAAAATACAATAAAACTTACACGATCCATCGCACTATGCTAGGAGGATTATCGACACAACTACGCTGACATTTCGTAAATGACTGAGATATAGAGACTGGTCGCACGACTTCCGTACGTCAACGACCCTCTCCGTTCAAAGGAATCACGGAGTGGAACGGTGGCTGAGGTCGCCACCCACATCGTCGAAAGCGCTTCCACGATCTATAGATAGCTTTCTAAACTTTGAAACCGTGCCAGTGGGCGAATCACTTCCATAACACGCGTCGTGCACGTTTGATTTCATTGTGCAACTATCATTACGTGTGAAAGACTCTACGACGAAGATACTTATGATTACACGTCGATAATATATCTAGACATACTTCTTTCCACATATTTATTTTCCCATTGAAATTTTATTTTTTAATTTCTAGTGAAACGTGAACAAACTCGAAAGGATAAAGCGATACAACATATCCCGTATAATTTAAAATTCGTGATTTACGTCGAATATAAAAAACTTCTTGCAAAATTAAATTTTATACCAAAGTGTGCCTTCAATTATAATATAAATTTTAATTTTTATCTTCTACACAATTTTAAATCATCCTCAAATATTTTCAATATTCTCAAAAATTATTTACTAACAACTCCTCTTCGTGATTCAACAGGTGATTCCGAATTAAATATTAAAAGAATTTCCTTAATAAATCCCGAATAATGTAATGATCCGAATCCTCGAATTAATCCCAAGCGATTCATTATTCAATTTTATCAACCCAATTCTCTAACTCGAGGCTAAAATAATTTCCCAAATGAAACCCGATCGATCCAAAAAACCCTAATAACCTTAATTATCAATCGCGCGGCCAATTTCCGCCCGATATCATTCATAACTTGGTTAATAAGCGGAACATCGGGTCGATGTTCGAGCGGGGCAAAAACCGATCTCCGATCGACAGACGTCCGAACGAGGATCCGCCCTTCCTCTCGAATTTCTTCATCTGTTTACGTCTTTGTCCCGACGTGGCGACGAAATTCGGCCCTGGGAGCCCGGGGATGGAGTCGCGTCGCCCGCGTCGCGGCGAATACTCGCACGTATCGGCCCCCCGTCCTCGGGAATTCGGTTTTGCTGCGTAACGCGGATCGCAAACGAACGCGACGCTGCGTTCCATCGGCCGGTCTTAATCTGGCCGGCCGATCGGAATCATGCGAAAATAATTGCGCAACGACATCCTTCTTGCGCATCCCTTGGTCGGCCACCGCGCGTAGAAGAAGGCCGGATACGAGCGAGCAGAGGGGTGAGAGGGAAGAAGCGTCGGTATTTCGTAGCGGCCAGATGCTGCGGCGACGTTGCGGACGAATGCAGAAACGGCGCCACAAACTTTGAGAATGCGGATCGGACGTGGATCTGCATCGCTGCGGGATTCTTGTCGGCCAATAAGCCTCGCGGACCACGCGTTTCCTCCGCCTCGATCGCTTCGAAGATTAATGTCCTAATCGTTGCCCGAGATAAGAAGCGGCAACTCCGTTTCTTGCGACAAGGGGCCACGGGGCTTGGGCGCCCGACGTAGGGAGGAACGTTCTAGCTCGGGCAAGAAGTTCATTAGGGTTATTAAATTGAATTTGTCCAGGCGCGGGTTTCTGCTACTTTGCCGTGTCTCGTTTTTCGCGACTCGTTAGAAAATTTTGGCGGTGGTCGGGGTTGGTTTTTATCCCGTACTCGTGGGAAAGGCACGTGAAAGTTGTGCGTCTTTTTTTTGTTATCTATCGTTCTTTCTATTAATGAATTACATTTCAAATAATTTAGAAAGAACGAATTCGAAAGTGAGTTGTCCGGGATGAGATGAATTCACGTTTACGTCTTAATATAATACTAATTAGCTATGCTCTTCTTCAGATGTCAATTTTATTCACTCGATTGTTAGTCGCAATACTGGTTATATTCGCGGGACTCGCAATCAGTTGCGTGTAAAACTAGTCGGAGGGCGACTTCCGCTAACTGGAGGCGCCGTCGGCTTCCTTTTCAGGCAACGCCACGTTCTGAACAACTCGTACATCTCTCTCATTCGTTCTCCTCTACTCGTTTGCTATTTTACAGCAGAATCCTTCCTTTTCCACTTGTGTCTCCCTTTTATATTCCGCACGACGTGCGCGCCTCTCCTCGTCCCACTTTGCTCGGCCGCACGATGGAAATTCTTACAGCAGCAGGAATATAAGGAGCACTGGCTCCGAACCCTCCGGGGACGTGTCGATCTCTTTTCTTCTCCCTCGTTTCTTCGCAACTTTTCATCGGCGCCGTTCCCCGCTTCGGGCCGTAAAATCAACCTGATTTCCGAGAACCTTGTAAACTGTTCGATCGAGTATTTAAATTTCCTTTGCATACGTAATCTTTTATCACCAGGAAAATTAACCAGAAATAGATTTCAAATCATGATTTCTAACGAGATTTATATCGGAAAAAGAAGGAAATATTAAACTGGAAAAAGAACAAGTATTCGTCATCGTACGATTACAAAATTTTCATCAAAAACAAAAACGTTTCGTGTTACGTTATACGAAACCATTGGGATTTAATTGTAAATCCTGAACAGGTGACCAAACAACAAGCATCGAATATTCACTTTACACTTTTCCGCCGTAAAAGTCTCTTCCAACAATCGCCTCCAAGGATGCGAAATACTCCGAAAAACCTCCTCGTAAAAGGCGACTCTTCGTTGCCCACGCAACAGAAGCGTACTCGAGGGAACGAAGATCTTTCACGAGGTTGCAAGGTAACTGAATTACGAGACAGCCGATGCAACCACCGTCGCGTCGGTGGTTCCCGAGGCGCGTCAAACAGAAAGTTACGGCGAGGCCGCGATGGAAAAAAGAAAAAAAGAAGTATCAGAAGAGAGAGAGAGAGAGGAGAAGGAAAAAAGAGTAAGAGGATAGGCGCGAGATAACCGAGAGAGGCGAATGGTCGAGGTCTCCTGTTTAGTCGGGGGAGAAAAGTGGTAGTTGGAGCGGTGAAGAAGTGTCGGTCGAGGTCGGCCAGGCAACACGTTCTCCTTCGTTTTCGGGCCTGGGACCGGGCCACGAAATTCATCGGCGAATTTCGAGCCCCGTGGGGCTGCGGAAACGTGGCAATTATCTTCGACAACGGGGTTACGAAAATTACCGGCCGAACTCCTCGGCTGAGATTAAAATTCTCCTAAATTTACGACGCCTGCGCGCTTCTGAAAGACAATGGCGACCCGGTATCGATTATGGGGCGCGAATTCCCCTATGGTTCGCCCAATTATTTCTGCCTGGTTCTAGGAACCATTGTTAGGGTGTCGATTTTCACGCGCCTCACGTGTATTTAAGGTGACGTTTATGGGAGGAGATGAGGCGAAATTGATAGCGGTTTCCTTTAATTTTACGACACTGGAACAAGATTCTTTTTTTTCTTTTTGTATGTATACAAGCTGTTTCCTTTAATTTTGGAACTTGAATCTTAAGATATTTTGTATTTATAAAGGGTGTCTAAAGATAAATTGATGGCACATGATGAAGGTGAAATCATTTTCAAAAAATTAAAAAGGAACACGTAATTTTAAAATAAATTTTAAAAGTAATATTTTATCAATCGTATGACACAAAGTCCTGTTTTCCTTATTAACTAGGTTAATAACGATAAACTCAAAATATAAATCAAATTTTATCGATTTTCCATATATATTCGCGAAATTGATTATTTCTTTTATCTCTAAGACTGCACAAAATTTACGTAATTTATCATCTAGTGAAGAGAAATTTCAAAATTGCAGTATTCCATCATATCATTATAAGTTATTTAAAAAAGAAAATATTTTATCAATATTAAAATTACCCATAACACGTATTTAAATGATTAAAACAAAAATTGATTCTCTCGATAAATTCCCACAATTAATCTATTACAAAATATCGATCAAACCAATCAATATTATCCACCGAATGACACAAATATCAATTCTCTAGCCTAAAATCAATTTTTCCCTGATCGTTGAATCTCTCGCTTACAAACTCCTCCCCCGAATCGTTCGACCGTTGGAACGCTTCATCCTTGCTCAATTCCTGGCAAATTTCGCGACCACCCCTCGACCAACGCTTGGGATCACGCAAACGAGTCCCTCGCGCGATGCATAATGTATCATCGGCGGATCACCACCGTCGACGACCCGCGAGGATCGCCGGCGAAGAAAGCCATCGCCACGTGGACTCGCCAATGAGTGAATCTGTCGGCAAAAAGCGGCGAGCCGGGAGGAAGGGGGCACCACGCGAAGGAACGAGCCGGCGACGTTGAACGGCCACGAAACCGAAATCCCGCGGCGAGGTGGTTCTTTTGCGGGTTTGAAAGAATGGCCCACCTTCTAGGAGGCGAGCGTCGATTTTTATGCGCCACTTTAGGACGCCATTAAACGGGCAAAGTAATACGGAATAACCACACGCCGATGGCAGCGGCGGCGGCGCCGTCGCCGCCGTTTATTTCGCCTCGTAAACATCGATACGCGCCGTGCGGCCTCTTCTTCTCGATTCTTCCCCGCCGATTCGACTC